AATTGAAGCCTCCCATTTTGTTCTTATTGCCTAGGCCACCCTTTATTTTTTTTATTTTTTTGAGACAGAGTCTCACTGTCTTGCCTGGGCTAGAGTGCCGTGGCATCAGCCTAGCTCACAGCAATCTCAAACTCCTGGGCTCAAGCGATCCTCCTGCCTCAGCCTCCTGGGTAGCTGGGACTACAGGCACCGTGCCACCATGTCCGGCTAATTTTTTCTGTTTTTAGTTGTTTGGCCAATTTCTTTCTATTTAGTAGAGACAGGGTCTTGCTCTTGCTCAGGCTGGTCTCGAACTCCTAAGCTCAAGCAATCCTCCTACCTCAGCCTCCCAGAGTGCTAGGATTATAGGCGTGAGCCACCGCACCCGGCCTATTTTTTAAAAAATAATTGCTCAAGGGTGCTCAACAGTCTTGATATAAGGACAGAATGACAAGACAATGCTAAAATAACATCATAGTTTATGGTCAATGTTGGCATTAATTCAGTTGCTCTATCCAGTTTTAAAATAAGAAAGTCCTTAGAGGGATAAATGGCATATGATAATTGTATGACACACTGCAGGCTGTGAGCATAGTGCCTTCCAAAAAGAAGCATGGTTCTTCTGACTTGCAAATGGTAATGGATGAAATAATTTTTCATTTGGTGTCCTTTGCTGATAAAGAGCAACAGAAGTGTTTTGGCCAAGCTGTGCATGACAGGCCCCTGTCAAAAATATCCAGAGTTAATATTTAGCAGGGAGGCAAATCCTTTTATGGTGTATTTGTTCTAAAAATGCTGTAGAGTTACAGGGAGGACTGCATTCAGCTAACAACTGTATTAATACCTGCAGTGTGTGATATTGTCTTGGAAAACATGGGGAATCCCAGAGAACTTCACCAATTTGTAAGAATATGGTACAAATTTAGTACATATATTTATATAGATCATAAAGAACCAAAATCCAGTGGTTGGAGATGGGCAGGTCAAGAATATTCCCTGAAGTTGAAAGATATTTGGTAGGAGGTGAAGATAAAGGAAGAGACATAGAGGAACAATTTAAATGATTTTCATTTGTAGAAAACTAGGCATGTGGTTCTAGAATTACATGTTGTTTTATTTTTCATAAAAGTGAAAGGCATGGTCTATACTGAAATGAATTTTTTCCTTTCTTTAAAAAATTTATTGACCATCAAATAAATTTATTATCATGATGATTTGGAAATATCTGTGAATTTTAAATGTTAGTGCTCTTTGACCCAGAAGTTCTATTACGTAAATTCTTAGAAGTATTTGTATAAGGGCTCAAAGACTTATGTTTAAAGATTTGATCGTATCATTATATGAGTTAGTGAAAGATGGGAAACTGAACTTTCTGAAAGTCTTTTAAAGCACCCTCGGATATAACAATAAGTAACTGTCAGGGGAAGATAAAGGAATTGAAACTCTTAAGTTGTAAGATGCCAAGTGTGTTAAACCTGCATAAGGTGGGTGTTTGCAGATGAGACAACAAACCTATTGCTTTCAGCTCTTTGTTCCAGTAAAGCATTATTCATCTTTAGTCATTCCTATTCCTCAAAATAAAACTTTTAATGAACTAGTTCTGGATGCCCTTTTAAGCATGTTGATGATAAAAGTTTTAAACTTTTGCCAACTACACATAAGAAATTTCTTTTGACTCACAGGAAGTTGTACCAAGGCTAATGAAGGAAATTGTGACAGGACCAGGGAAGGCAGTCCCTCCTCGAATGAGTTCTATTGGGCACTTTTCCTTAGAGATCTGGGTATATTGCAAAGCATATCTGTACCTGCTGAAAGAAGGGTACGTACTGTTTTTTGTGAACATGGCTTAGGAGATGGAGAAACCCAGATATGAATCCTCCTTCCTCCACCAGTCAGTGTATGACTTAGGGCAAAGGACTTAACCTCTCCACCTGTTTTTCTCAATTCTAAAATAAGAACGTTGTTAGTTTCTGTCAACTGGATCTGTTGTGAGGTGCAAATGAGGTCATGCATAGCACCTCACACAGAGGAAGCTCACAAACGAATCCTGCCACATGGTTGCTGTATACACTCATCCCTTCATCAGAATTATTTTTTCTTAACCTGAATTTTTACTTCAACATGCTTTTTACCCACCTCACTACCCTTGGGAAGAAACAAAGGCAGCATTCAGATGTCACAAATGTCTTAACTGAAATTGAACAGACCGAGCAGGAGCCTTTTTGTATGGTAATATGATAATATGATCAATCTTTAATGTTCAGGCTCTTTGACGCAGCGGTTCTATACTAAAAATGTGTGCAATAGAAGTATTTGAACAGGGCACAAAATTTATGTACAAAGATTTGGTCGAAGCACTTTATGAATTAGTTGAGAATTGGAAACTGCACACAAGCTATAGGGGTGAGATAATCAACTGTGGTGTATCTCCTTGAGGGAATATTCTATCAGTAAAATGAGGTAGGGACATGTGAATGACATGGGGAAGATATCCTAGGTGATAGTTAAGGTAAAAAAAGCGAATTAGAATGCTATTTGTAATGTGTTCCTATTCGTTTCTTTAAAGCTTTAAGTTAGTACATTTTTTTCCCCTGTGTCTGCCTGACCTTTTCATGTCTGTATCTTTTCACTGGGTTTTTGTCATGCTTTCTGAGCATTGGCTTGAAAGAACTAATTAATAAAACTATTTGGGAGTGGCACTTTATTTAGGTAATTAATTTAGGTAATTAGTTGATTGTGAAATTATAAGTTAACTGGTCAGTATAAGCTTTTCTGATTGACTTTGGTAATTCTTTTTTTTTTTTTTTTTTTTTTTTTGAGATAGAGTCTCACTCTGTTGCCCAGGCTAGAGTGCCATGGCATCAGCCTAGCTCACAGCAACCTCAAACTTCTAGGCTCAAGCGATCCTCCTGCCTCAGCCTCCCGAGTAGCTGGGACTACAGGCATGCGCCACCATGCCCGGCTAATTTTTCTATGTATTTTTAGTTGTCCAGCTAATTTCTTTGTATTTTTAGTAGAGACGGGGTCTTGCTCTTGCTCAGGCTGGTCTTGAACTCCTGAGCTCAAACGATCTGCCTGCCTCGGCCTCCCAGGGTACTAGGATTACAGGTGTGAGCCACCACACCCGGCCTTCTTAAAAATTTTTAAACAAATTTAGGTAACAAGGACGTAGCCCAACAACTTTGGGGGATTGGTTTTTCACCTGTAAAGGTCACAGGTGGGAGTCTAGAGAAAAAGAAGAAAAGACTCTCAGAATTAAATCACCACGATTAAAATTCCTACCAAATAGTATGAGTAAACTGACCTATGGAGTGGCCTCCTGGCAAGTCCGTGTTGAGGGAGAAGTGGAATGGCTTACTCATCTGTATGTGGGGTTTGCTGTTGATTACTGGTATCTCTCTGGAGATTTGTATCTAGTGCTCTGTTCTCTGCCTCTACTCTGGGCTTACAGGGGGATGGAATCGTTAATGCCACTGGTGATTTTTTTGTGTGGTAAAGAGTGGTGGTGGCATTTGGCAAAGCAACATTAAATGGCACAAGTTTTGTTTCTACATCTAGTAAAGATGTCAGAGCCCAGTGTTTTTCTTTGACAAAGATTTTCAAAAACTGCTTAAAATGATCAGATTCTAAAGATTCCCCTAGTACCTGAGACTTTTGAAAGCAAAACTGTTAGCATGCTTTTGTTCAAGTCTTTTTAGGAATTTGAGAAAAGTTTTCATTTAAAAAAGTAGAAATTAGCCAGGAGCTGGTTTTATGGCTGTGTGTACTGATTACAGTACTGATGGATTAACCTGAGTATTTGGGAACTGAATACATAGTATGTAATAGGAATATAAGAAGGTTCAAGAGAGAATCCTGTTAGGTGTTTCTTACCTAGTTTGTAAGTTCAAGACAAAATATCTTCTAATATTTCTAGAAATGTTGGCTTATTGGGTGTACCTCATGGTTTTTTTTTAAACAAATGCATATTTATTCTTTATTCAGTTGTGGCTCATCTTAAAGTATTTCTTGCAATACCTTTCTTGGAATTAACTTACCCTTGAGAGTGTTTTCTACTATTGTTAGAAGGTGAAATATAAGCTGCATCAGCATATGCACTGTGTGCACTTCAGAACTCTAAAGTTCTAAGCTTTAGTTGATTCACTGGTAACATTACTGAACCTTGAATTAGCTGTTTTACGAACCCAGTGTGAACTCTTGAGTAGATGTGTCCTTTAGCCCTCCAAGAATGATTGACTGTTTGAAAAGAGACTCAGGAAGGGCACAACTGGGTTGAGGTGGGAAGCAGTGAAGGAATGAGGTATACAGATAAAATCCATTTATGAATAACCTTTCAGGAGTCAGCCTTCAAAGTTTTCCAGTTTGTTCATGTGTAAAGTGCAAAGGGAAGGCAGAGATGGAAGGAATAAAGAATTCTAATAGAAAGGACCTTATGGCATTTTATCACTGACATGAATTAGTTCTCTTAAATCTTGTCCTGTGCTGGGGCGTGATAAGTGTTGAATGATAGTGGTAAGAGTTCTCACCATCTAGTTATATATAGTGAGAGTCAGGTGTGTTTCTCTTAGAGAATGGTTCACTATGTATGTTTTTAAGAACCTACACAGATGAGGTGTGGAGCTAGTGTTCTTGAATGCTATCGTATTTGTTGATATGTAGCCCAGCATTTCATTTACTCATCAATAATCTACCTTGTATATGGTGGCACAGGTATCTTAATTTTGTGTAATCTTGTCCTTCTATTCTAATGTGTTTAAACTGTATACTGTCTTCATGTATTTTAAAGCTATAGCGCATTGACATTTTAGTTTAAGAAAACTGGGTAGAGAAAAGTGAAATTTTAAATACCAACATTTTCAGGATGAATAATACCAGATCTTGTCAATTTACTGTGGTAATTTTTTTCCTTAAACTTTCCTAGTATTCTTAATGTATGAGAACATGCCCATCCCAAAGCCAATGATGACAAAAGGCTGATCTATAGCAAATAAGCATGCATGTCTGCCTTTCTTTCCCAACAGCAGTCAGAGACGGAGACAGTTCATCTGTTTATCCCAGCCCTGTCTGTTGGTGCCATTATCGGCAAGCAGGGCCAGCACATCAAACAGCTTTCTCGCTTTGCAGGAGCTTCGATTAAGGTACTGTTCCTGCCATCTGTAGCTCTCCTGGTTCTTTAAAGCAGATTACAGAAACATGAATCTTCTTGCCACTTTATAATTCGAATTGAATGTCATGCATAAAAATATGACAGAAAACCCCAACAGTAGTTTAAACCAGGTAAGTTAACTTGTTTCCAGAAAAAGCAGTCCAGATTAGCAATCCAGGGCTGGGTGGAGGCTCTGCCCCACCAGGTGTTCCAACAGTCAGTTCTATTGTCCAGCCAGTAGAAGAGCCGTTTTCCTAGGAAGGTTTCCTGTTAGCTGTAGGGGTATTTCCACGTATATTCCATTGCCCAGAACTTGGCCAGCTGAAGTTGAAGGGGCCCGCAGGTAAATGCAGTCAGTGTGTGGTCAGCTAAACATTTTATCAGTACAGAAGATAGGGTAACAAATTTGAGAGGACAGCTAATGGTGTCTGCCATAATAGATATTGTGTGTTCTGAAAGATTCTGTGTTTTAATGTGCTAAGACAATGTAATATTAAACATAAGGAAAAACAATCTTTTAGAGGTTTTATTTCACTTATGTTTTATAAACGTTTTTCAAAAAGATTTATGTAAAAGAACAAAGTATACTTACCATACGACCCATAAAATGCTGCTGAGTATTTAGACAAGGGAAATGAAAACTTAACACAAAAAAACTGCACTCAAGTGTTTATTGCAACTTTATTGGTAATTGTCTTCAAATAAGAAGAAACCAAATATTCTTCAACTGGTGAATGGATAAAGTGTGGTCCCTCTTTACAATAAAGATTATTCAGCAATAAAAAGGAACCAACTATTGATAAAATTTGGAAGAAATCTCATGTATTGTGCTAAGAGAAAGAAGTCAGAGGGCACATACTGCATGATTCCATTTATATGACAATTATTCAAAAGGTAGAACTACAGCGATGAACAAATCAGTGGTTGCTAGAAGTTGGAGGTGGGAAGGGGTTGAATATGGGACAGCACGAGGAAATTTGCAGGGGTGATGGAACTGTTCCACATTTTCATTGTGGTAGTTTTTACATGACTGCATTTGTCACCTCATAGGGCTGGATGTCAAGAGTAAATTTTACTGTATAGAAACTAAATCATTAAAAATCGAAACATACAGAAATAGCCCTCATACATTCTCTTGTGGCAAAGGTAACAGTAAGTAAACACAAAGTCCAGCCAAAATAAATAAATGAGTAAAGGAAAAAAGACAAGGAAAAAGATCGAGTGGTGGGCCGGGCATAGTGGCGGGCACCTATAGTTCCAGCTACCTGGGAGGCTGAGGCGGGAGGATGGCTTAAGCCCAGGAGTTTGAGTTTGCTGTGAGCTAGGCTGATGCCCTGGCATTCTTGCCTAGGTGACAGAACCTCAAGGCTGTCTCCCCCCACTCCCCACCCAAAAAAAAAGAAAAGAAAAAATCATGGTGAGCCAGCTTTACTGCCCTGCTAGTTCCTCATTAATGAATTAAAAATAAATCTTTGACAGTGCTCACACGTGTCAAAAAAGAACCTAGTAGATAGATCTGTTTTGGACGAATTGCAGTGGACATTTCATAAATAAGAACTGGATTATTAGAGGCTCAGTTCTTAATTCTTTCTGCTTTTCAGGAAGGTTTTCTAATGAGCTTGGAAGCATTTTTGTTTCCAGAAAGTCTGAAACGTTCATAATCTGAGAGATCCACCACCATTCTTTATACTTTGGTATAGGTTCAGATTTATGTAAACTTTCATATATGTACATTATTAGGTATATAACATTTGGTATCACAAGCCATAATCATTTGTGTTCACTTATTTGACATTTAGATTATTCCTAATTTATCCAGCACAGTGCAGTAATAAATAAAATTCTTTCAGCAGAATTGTTGTATGCAATCATATTTCTTTAACATGAGTTTACAGATGTAGATTTTGGTGAGTCTAAGGGCATGTGTTTTTCAGGCTTTCGAGAAGATTACAGCAATTTATACTCCTATCCTCAATGTGTGAGTGCCCTTAGCGCCAGCCCTCCATCACCAATATTGACAAATGTATTTTTTAAAAAAGAAAACTAGCTGGAAAGGTCAGAATGATATCTTCTTCACAGGGGTTTCCTGTGAAGAATCCTAAGAGCTTGCACTAAAAGCAAGTAATTATTTACTTGTTTTATAGACTCAGAATTAGCTAGTGCCCAGCATAAAGTAGGAATAGTGTCAATTTGGCTCTAGGTAACAGGAATATTAGCTTTATAAGGAGGGAGAAGGATGACTCCATTAGAAATAGAGTTTTGATACAAACATGTAGGAAAAAGTCTAGGATAACTGTATCAAGTCTTGACAGTGATCATCTTGAGTGGAATTTACGATGATTTCACTTACTGTTACACGGTAACAATGTGTTTAAGAACTAAGTTGTTTCTTGCACAGCAGATACCTAACATTTTTTTCTTTTAAAACAACTTGTGTCAGGTAGGTCCCCAAATCCCTCCTTACTGTGACTCTGGGGTAAATGCTGGTTTCCTCTCCCTCCAACAGTTTCTGCACCATTTCTCTTGCTCAGTTAATGTTAGGTTATTTCACATGTTACTCTGAGGGAATCTACTCATAGTCTTAAATTTGTGAAATAGCAAAAAATGTATAAAAACAGCTTAAGAAATTAAGAGTTTTCTTTCTAAATTTTTTTTCCTCTCACATCAAATGGGTAAATGTTACGCTGTTGTCACAAGGTTTGAGGGAGGCACATCTCACACATGCATGTGAAAGTTCATAAGTCATCACACTTATGAACCACAAAAGGATCTTATTTCTAAATTATATGAAAGGGGTTCAGCGATCTAACTGGTATTAAAAAGCAGTGCCCTTTTCTGTGGAAGTAGAAAAGGTCATGTAGAGCAGTAGCTTCAAAACTTAAGGTACAGTTTCCTGGAGTACCTGTTGCATACATAGGAAGCCCAAGGGTTCTAGATGCAAGTGGGCCAGGGACCCACCTTGAGCCCACTGGTGTAGTGAACGTGGGCAATGGAGGCAGGGCCAGCTCTCTCTAGCTCTACTAGCTGTGTGATCATGGGCCAGGTAACTCAACTTCTCCAGCCTTCCATTTCCCCATTTGTAAAGCGGAGGTAATACTTCATCAGGATGTGGTGAGGATTAGCTGAGATACAGCATGTGTTTTACATTAGAGCCAGGCACAGTGCAAGAACACACGATATGGCAGGAGCCTAACTGATTAACCCACATGAATCACAGCCTCTCCATAATTTCCTTCCAGAAGGCTTTTAATTCTGTTGGTCAGTCATGTGCAGATGTCAAGCTAGTTAGCCCAACGTTTCTATCAGTGACACCTGAAAGTATCATAACCTGTTGTTGATGGGTCTGTTACAGATCGCTCCAGCCGAAGCACCAGATGCAAAAGTGCGGATGGTGATTATCACTGGACCACCAGAGGCTCAGTTCAAGGTAGGTGCTCTGGAGTGTGCATATAGTAACGAATGGATGTGAAGAATGATGATGCCTTCTTTTTAGGAACTTAGTAAAATGGCTTCTCCCTAGATATGTATAATACTCAGTAGAATTAATGGAAATTCATATTTAAGGGCAGAATAGAGCCATATTCAAAATTATATGTCAAAAATCAAAAGCCTTTAATTTTGAGAGTTCTGTAATGGTTTGTTGGGTTTACTTGTTTCACAAAGGTGAATTTGCTCAAAGCACTATTATCATATGTTAAGGCAGCCTTAAGACTGAAATTTACAAAGCTGCTGGGTTAACACGCCTTAGAAACTTGCTCCTAGGTTTTCCCCTCCTGTCCTGAGATGCCCTAATTAATGTTGAATTAAAAGCCCTCTTTTCCTTGTACCTGTGGATTAACTGTTAGCCCTTGCCCGTAGATCTTCCACAAATCACTTGTAATCCTTGGGATTTTAGAGGTAGAAATGGCAGAACTCTTGTGGCATTTGCACATATTTATTGGGGTTTGAGGTCTTTGGGTTTGGAGTGCCCCTCAGTGAGCAGCAGAGTGATGAAGAGCAGAGACTTGGCAGCCAGGCTGCTGGTTCAAATACCAGCTATGCCATTCACCCTGTGTGACCTTAGGCAAGTTACTCATCTGTAAAACGGGGATAAGAGTACCTACATCCTAAGGTAGTTGTAAGGTTTAAACAATATATAAAGTGCTTAGAATAGTGCCTAACACATAAGAAGCACAAAATTAGTACGCTGCTGGTGTTTAGCAGACTCAGTGAATCATACTAAGGTGCCAAATCCACAAATAGTCTTTTTTTTTTTTTTTTTTAAATGAGATAGGGTCTCACTATGTTGTCCAGGCTGGCCTCAACTCCTGGGCTCAAGCAATCCTCCTCAGCCTCTCACAAAGCTGGGACTACAGGCAGGCACCACAACACCTTGCACGAATACATTCCTTTTAGTGTATGATTTGTCCCATAAAATTTAGTATGAATGTCTTGTCTTAGATAAAAGCAACTACTGACTTCAGTTATTACTAATTTGTCCAAAACCCATTTTCTTGGTCCTATGATTTAGCAGCTGGGTAAGAGGGCACTTCCTTAACCTTAAGCCTTAGTTTTTTTTAGCTCTTAAATGTGGCTAATAACAGTGCCTACATTTTTCCCCACCTCTTTAAAAAAAACCCATCACTTCTTTGACCTCTCTTTTCTTTGGACCATTTTTTTCACCAAAAATCCAAAGTTGCTTTCACTTCATTTATAGAGGAACTTTGAGATTTGGGCATAGTTGGCTAGGCTCACAATGAGGTGAAGAAAGTTATTCCCTCGCAGCAGCCTTGTGGTCCAGGCAATGTAAATCATAACTCATAATGTTGGAAATTGCTGCCTATCCTGAACCTTCAGGGTCATTCATTCTTAGTTTGAAATCTAAAGAATAAATGCAAATATGAATTATTGCATGTTTCTCTTTGGTGCCGAGCTTTTACTCTTATAATTGGAATTACTATCTTGCAACTCCTGTGATGGTTGTATGATGGGACATTCTAAGTTGTTTCCCTATATCCTCTAATACCCATTTTTACAGTTAAATAAAGCATTTAAGAGAAGCTGTAGGCCGGGCGCAGTGGCTCACGTCTGTAATCCTAGCACTCTGGGAGGCCGAGGCAGGTGGATTGTTTGAGCTCAGGAGTTCGAGACAAGCCTGGGCAAGAGTGAGACCCCGTCTCTAATAAAAATACAAAGAAATTAATTGGACAACTAAAAATATATAGAAAAAATTAGCCGGACATAGTGGCGCATGCCTGTAATCCCAGCTACTCGGGAGGCTGAGGCAGAAGGATCGCTTGAGCCCAGGAGTCTGAGGTTGCTGTGAGGTAGGCCGACGCCACTGCACTCTCGCCCAGGCAACAGAGTGAGACTCTGTCTAAAAAAAAAAAAACTGTAATGGTTAAATCTCATTTATGTGATCAGTAATAATTACTAATGATTATTTTATGTTAAAAATATAAAGAATAGTAGACCTAACCATATTTATTCGTATGAATTCAAGAGCTTCTGTTTTGGAGGATGGTGTATTATATCCCTAGTGTCCTTTTGACTGTGTTAAGATAATTTTTTTTCTATAGTCCCCTAAAGTAAGTGCAGCATTTATGGACCAACTCTCAGACTACTTTTTCCTTTGGTGTGTACCAAAGCAAAGTAATGGTTGTACGTAATAGATGTTTCTTATGTATAACTTCTAGTTGTATGCAGTAGGTGAGAGTTTATGTTGACTGTAAATATCAGAAGTGTGTGTTAACTTGATTTCATAGCCTCTTTATTCAAAGGAGAAACCACTTGGCTAAGATGGAGAAACATGTTTAAACAGAAAATATTCTTAGGTTTCTAACTGGCCCATTTAGACATGAGGCTGGCATAGCTGGCTATGTAATTCTTTTGTAGTCTCTTTTGCTCAAGAGAAATGCAATTAATTTCTCACTGCCAGCAGGAGAGGTTTCACCTTTCACAACTGGAGTGCGTATGGCCATTTGCCCACAAAAATCATTTATTGTTAGTTAAGCTATTAATTGCCTTTAACTGTGTTTGTCAGAAAAATATGGCTTATCCTTCTTTTGTCAATCAGTTGCCTCACCTGAGATGGGCAATAGTTACTATCAGCCTTTCCAGGGCTTCCTGACTTCCCTTAATGCTGTCTTCAACAACCTATGAAATGCAGATGTATCACTGCAAAGGGCTAATAAGGATGGGTGTGGGCCATATTTAAAGTTAAGTGACCTTATTATGTTTCATACTTGATTGACACTGATAGGATATGTTCTCATCTGTAGGCTCAGGGAAGAATTTATGGAAAAATTAAAGAAGAAAACTTTGTTAGTCCTAAAGAAGAAGTGAAACTTGAAGCTCATATCAGAGTGCCGTCCTTTGCTGCTGGCAGAGTTATTGGAAAAGGAGGCAAAACGGCAAGTACTTCAGCAAAACCTGTGCAGTGGTATGAAAGGGAAAGCGTTGAAAGGTACTTAGGAGTTCCAAGTCCTTGAATTTTGGCTAATTTATAGAAAGCAGGACCATCTTGACCAAGGTTTGGAGATGATTGCTTTTTGTATCCTGTCTGTTCATGTCAGCTACTAGTCAAAGTAATGCATCTCTTTCAGACTACTTTGTGTCAGAGGACTGTCCCGTATTCATAAAGGGCATTCAGCATTATTTATTTGATGCAATTTAGCTGTTTATTTTTATTTTACAGTGATATGAACTGAAAATTTTTAAAAATTTCATCTACAACTTGTTACCTCTATAACTGGAAAAAAGCAATTGGCTTCCAGTCTCTAATACATACAGCTTCTAAGTCATTTTCAAAGCTGTTTATAGTTTTGAAATGATCGAGAGCATATGCTCTGGAGTCGGACTTTGAGGATTTGAATCTGGTTCTGCTATTCACTTGTATAACTGGGCAAAGCAGTTTCTGTGAATGAGCCTTAGTTTTAATTATCTTGAAACGGGGATAATACTAATAACCTCATATAATTACTACTGTGTTAAACGTAATTTGTAAATCAGTAGCTCGGTGTGTGGCGCATAGTAAGTACTCAGGAAATCGTAGTTTTAAAATTCCACTGAACATGATTTTTCTCATTCAGGTGAATGAGCTCCAGAATTTGTCAAGCGCAGAAGTTGTTGTCCCTCGTGACCAGACGCCTGATGAGAATGACCAAGTGGTTGTCAAAATAACTGGTCACTTCTATGCTTGCCAGGCAAGTGGGATCTAAAATAAGCTCTTTTGCATCTTTCTGAAATGGAAGTGATTCTCATATGGGTACTCCCACCCCATACAAATATTTAAAGTTGTCTGATTGATGTCTAATACTTTTAATCTCTCTTTTAGCAGGTGTTTTCAGAGACTAGCAGACTGACTAGTCATATCTTTAATCTTCAAATGGATTTCTATTTGAAGTTGTGGAAATGGAATACTAAAATAACTTCTAATAACTTTTGATCAGGTAGACTTTTCAAAGCTCTGTCCTTTTGCAGGTTGCCCAGAGAAAAATTCAGGAAATTCTGACTCAGGTAAAGCAGCACCAACAGCAGAAGGCTCTACAAAGTGGACCACCTCAGTCAAGGCGGAAGTAAAGGCTCAGGAAACAGCCCTCCACAGAGGCAGATGCCAAACCAAAGACAGATTGCTTAACCAACAGACGGGCGCTGACCCCCTATCCAGAATCACATGCACAAGTTTTTACCTAGCCAGTTGTTTATGAGGACCAGGCAACTTTTGAACTCCTGTCTCTGTGAGAATGTATACTTTATGCTCTCTGAAATGTATGACACCCAGCTTTAAAAAAAAAAAAGATGAGGGGGGAGGGGAGGGAAAGAGAGGAGCTCTGCACTTCCCTTTGTAGTCTCACCTATAACAAATATTTTAATTTTTCTTACTATTCCCCCATAATGCAAGAAATTGGCTTAATGAGGCATTCACTAAATTCCTCAAATATAAATAGATTGCTCCTAAATCCAATTGGTAAAATTGGATCACAATAATTATCACAGGAACTTAAATGTTAAGCCATTAGCATAGAAAAACTGTTCTCAGTTTTATTTTTATCTAACACTAACATGAATAACCTAAGGGAAGTGCTGAATGGTGTTGGCAGGGGTATTAAACGTGCATTTTTACTCAACTACCTCAGGTATTCAGTAATACAATGAAAAGCAAAATTGTTCCTTTTTTTGAAAATTTTATATACTTTATAAAGATAAAAGTCCAACCATTTTTTAAAAAATAAATTTAAAATTTAACACCTATCAGCTAACAGGCAAATAATTGAGAAAGAATTTTACTTCTGGCTGGTGACAGTTAAGCTAGAAAATTAATTTCAGGTTTTTTGAGGCTTTTGACACAGTTATTAGTTGAAAAATCCAATAAATGTTCAAGGATATGGAGCAGTGCCTATATTTGGAGAGCAGCGATACCATTTATTCTTTCATTTATAGTTGGGAAAGTTTTCAATGGTACTAACAGAGCAAAGTGGTGGCAGGAGGATTTGGAACGGCTGGTTTAAATGGCATTAGGAGACTTCAGTTTTTTTGTTTAGCTACATGACTGAGTGCATAAATGCTTTGTGCTTTTGACTATCACTACCTAAAGAAAGCGCATCAATGAAGCGATGCAAGACTTTAAACTGATTGGCAAAAAGCAAGATTCAGCTTGTCTTACAGGATGCTTAGTTTGCCAATACACTTCAGGACCAGATGGTCTCCACTTTGAGCAGACTCCGAAAGTAACTGCTTTGTGAAGACCAAGGGGTCAGAGATGGTATGACAGTGTTTGAAGGCAACAAAGGGCTACATCTCCACATGCCCAGCACTGTCATGAGCCTCACTAAGCTATTTTGAAGATCTTTAAGCAATGATAAATCAAAAGAAAGGAAGTCCACCCAAAATATTACATAAAATGTAGTAGGATTTCTGTGTACTCTGCAACCAGTTATTTGAAAGTAAGTCAAAAGGTAGAGGATACATGAAAACAATTTTTGGAATCATTTGAATGACTGTGAAAACATCTGACCTTTGATACTGAACTCGTTTGTCCATTCCTTAACTCGATGGCAAAGCCCCGTTAGGTACAATTGTGTGGGTGTGGGTGGTCTCCAAGGCCATGCTGCTCTCTGAATTGTGTTTGTGTTGCATTTGTTAGTAGGATGATCACAGTCATTAACACTGATCTGAAGGGCATATATAATAACCCTTAAGTCAGTTTGCCTCATTCATATTTCAAGATGAATTTCTACACAGACTAGATAAGTATTTCTGAAGATCACATCAATTAGACATTTTGAAAATTGAGATGTTTTCAGAAAACCAGTTTATTTTGTCGTTTTATCCAAAATATCATTTTTGTCACTGGATTCACTTAGCAGTCATAATTTTTTTTCTATACAATGAATTGCTAAAAAAAAAAAAAAAATCACAGACTGGCTTTCTGGTTGGATTTCAGGTGGGATGTGTTTTAAGGCCAGAGTTCTTCCTCAATATTTGATTTTTTCCAATATTTGATTTTTTAAAAACACAGGTGCTGCATTTATATCTGCTGGTTTAAATTCTGTCATTTCACTTCTAGCCTTTTAGTGTGGCAAATCATTTTACTTTTACTTAAGCAGTGGTAATTTGGAGTATCTGGTACTAGCTAAGAAATAATTCTATAATTGAGTTTTGTACTCATCATATATGGATCATTCCTCCTCTATGTGCCCCAAATGCAGCTTCATTTTCCCAATACCTTGATGCAGAATAAAGTTTTTCATCATTTAGGTGCAGCTTGTCATGTGTAGTGTTTTACTTTTGGTTTTCAAAGGAATGTGAATGTTCCAAATTTGAGTTTTTCAAACTCCAAACTTAACAGATTTTTGGTAATACTATGTCAATTTTGACATAAGTGTCTACTGGTAAACTAGTTTTTCCAGCCATGTTACTTAATGTGAACCTTGATAATACCTCTGTTGCAGGAGTACAGTTTTCTAGAGTTTTTCCTTATACTTTAGCTTTCTTATGTCATTTGGAATATTCTGGAAGGGTTCAGAAGTCCTTCTGGGAGAATATTTACTACTGTCTATCATCACCTAAAATAGATAATGGGACTAGTGGTGATGTTTTAAAAATTTTTGGCCATTCTGTTAAACAGTAAGATTTATATCTAAACAAACAAAACTGATTTTTAAAAATCTGAACAGAGAGCTCAGGTTAGGCACAGGAGCCAGTGCTAACTCTAAACAATCCTGATGGGATTTCAGGCATAAAGGAATCATGTTAAAATTTTGATTTGAATGCATTGATTCTTGGTGCAAGCATTAGCTCATTTATGTACAGTCTGTGTGAAGCATGAGTGCCCATGAGGTAGACAAGACTTGTGCTAACAGCAGTGTAACCAAGGAGATGGGATATAGGAGCTATATATTTTCCAAGAAGTGACTCAATCCAAATCTGAAATGACTAAAGCAGTTCACATAATTTTATTCACATTTGAACTCCACTGGAGTCAGAGTCAGAGATGAGGTGTCAGCTTCTATTCCAAGAATGAAGTCTTCAGGTAACGTCTCAGGTGGTATTTGAGCTAACTGGTCATCGTAAGAACGCAGGGTCCATAATTTCTCTAATTCATAGATTTCTCTGGTTTCTGGAAGCATCAAATGAAGCACCATGCTGCCTGTCAGGGACAGATAAGAGTTACAACGAAGTTCATTTGCTTTTATTCTCATAACACTCTAGGAACTAGAGCAGTGGTTTGCGAAGTGTGGTTCCCAGATTGCATTGTTAAAAAGTTCCCAGGTAATGCTAAACTGTGGACCCCATCCCAGCAAGAATACCACAGAAGTGATGCCATGCCTTTCTCAGTGCATCATATAGAAGGTACGTGTGATGTCAATATGAAACATTACTGGTGATGTTAACTTACCTAAATAGCTAAAGGTAGCCTGCCAGGTTTCTCTTGGGAGACAAGTATCATATTTCTGCACATCCTATGAGCAAAGCACTGACTGCCTCTAGTTCTAGATTATCTTTTCAAGAATGTATAGTGAATATACATACTGTCTGCCTCCAGTGCAAAGGGCAGCTTTAGCAACATTTCTCAGACAATTTTTGATTGTTACAACTGGGGAGAGGGAAGGATTCCCATTCTACAGTGCACAAGAGACACCCATCTCCTCTGCCCCTAAAACAAAATTACCTGGTTGTGACAAAGATGAGAAGTCTGCTTCCTCCCAATTATAAAGGACATGGAAACCCTAAAATGAGTTTGTCTTACAACTGTGTGTGTGTCATCTCGCCCCTCTGTTGCCCTTATGGGATCTGGGGTTCAGAAAAGTGGTACAAAATTGATAATGCTGGTAACTGCTGGGAGTAATAAACTATCCTTTGTCTCTAACTCTAGAATAGTCTTATAACCGATAGGACAACTTCATTAGCTTGCAAGTAGGATAAAATCTGACTCCTCACGCTTCTTAAGTTATCTTGTTGGGAGATGCTTAGAAACATATTAATACCCAAACTTGTTAGATCTTTACAAATTTCTAGTCCTCTGCTCTTGTCCTTCCCTATACCCAGAATGACCCTCATTTATTTATGGCTGAGGTCACATGCACCCCAGCCCCCAAGAGGCCTTCTCCCACCACTAAGGGATCTCCCATCTGTCAACCATACTCCTAACCTATGTGTCTAGTTATATATGTGCATACACACCATATAGTATGTCTTTCTCCAGGAGTGCATTATCTAGAGTACTTTAATGAAAATTCACATGTGATTAACAGAACCTGGATTATAATTAAATTTATTGTTAAATTTAATCTCTTACATGGAAATGCGCTCAGCAATTTTGATCTCAATCCTTTTGCAACTGGAAACGAGACTGGTGTAATACCAATATTTATCTGTGAAATATGCCAAGTATCGCAAAATAACTTACCAAAATCCACACATAGCCAGTCATCAGTGTCCTTCCCTTCAATCTTAACATGAGGCTCACTCTTACATTTCAGGTATTTGTACTGGAAAAAAAAAAAGTCCTTTATTAAAGGGAGAGGAGATGGGGGAAATCTGTTCTTGCTCAGTATCTGGCTATATTAGCACACAGCTGGTATCATACTCAATGGTAAGCTTCTCCTCTAAGAACAGGAAAAAGACAAAGATGCCTGCTTTGGCTACTTGTATTCAACAGAGTACTGGAAATTCTAGTTAGAGCAATTAGCAAGAAAAAGAAAAGGCATCCAAATTGGAAGAAGTGAAATTGTTAGAAGACACCACGATCTCATATGTGGAAAACCCTGATGATTCCACACACAAAAAATCATTAGGACTAATCAGCAAATTCAACAACATTGCAGGATACAAAAACCAATGCACAAAAATTAGTTAGGTTTTTATACACCAATAATAAGTAACCTGAAAAGGAAACTAAGAAAACAATTCCATTTACAATAGCATCAAAAAAAAAAAAAAAATACTTAGGAATAAACCTAACCACAGGGGCAAAAGACTTGTACACTGAAGACTACAAAACATTGCTGACAGAAATTGAAGATGACACCAATAAATGAAAAGATACCCCATATTCATGGATTAGAAGACTTAAAATGTCAATACTACCCAAAGCAGTCTACAAATTCGGCACAAATATCAAAATCTCAACAATTGTTTTTGAAGAAAAAGAAAAATCCATCCCAACATTCATATGGAATCTCAAGGGATCTCAAATAGCCAAAACTATCTTGTAGAAGAAGAACAAAAGTCGGTAGTCTGGCATTTTTTTTTATCTCAAAACTTTTACAAAGCTACAGTAATCAGAACAGTATGGTACTTTCATAAAGACTTATAGACCAATGAAGTATTAGAGCGAGCCCAGAAATAAACCCTGGCACACATGGTTAAATTATTTTCAATTAAGAGTTGAAAACCAAAACAGAAGGACAGTCTTTTCCAGCAAATGGTGCGGAGGAAATGATATCCACATGGAAAACCTTGCACCATCTACAAAAACTAACTCAAAATGGATTACATACTTGACCGTGAGACCTAAAACTATAAAACTCTTAGAAGAAAACATAGGGGAAAGCTTCATGACATTGGTTTGGCAATGGTTTCTTGGATATGACACAGAAGGCACAAGCAACTAAAAGATAATTGGACTTAATCAAAATTAAATACTTTAGAGTAGATCAAAGGCTATTCTTTCCAGATACAGTGGCTCGCCCCTGTAATCCTAGCACTTTAGGAGGCTGAGGGGGGAGGATGGCTTAAGGCCAGGAGTTTGGGAACAGCCTGAGCAACATAGCAAGACCCGTCTGTACAAAAAATTTAAAAATTAATCAAGTGTGGTGGCATGTGCCTGTAGCCCTAGCTACTCTGGAGGCTGAGGTGGGAGGATCGTTTGAGGTTTCAGTGAGCTATGATGCTCTCCAACAACAGAGCGAGATCCTGTCCCAAGCGGGGTGGAGGGGGAAATACACCCTAAACACATCCAGAATATACAGAACTCTTACAACTCAACAAAAACAAGCAAAAACCCCTGATTTTAACACACTGACTGCCACGCCAGAAAAAAAACTTCCTTGGGGCCGTGGTATTTTATTTCAAAAATAGAATAAAGACTTTGAAAACAATGATCCTTTCTAATTTAATGAAAAATTTGTTATTGTTTTTTATTTTCAATAGAAGTAATATGAAAACTTGAAAAATAGTTCATAAGAGTAAAGTGTTTTTCTTGACTTGTCAGGCTTAAGTGTAACTTAAAAGTTTATACATACTGATAACCAGAACTCGGGAAAATCAACAAGAAAAAATCAAACGACCCTATCAAAAAGTGGGCAAAGGACATGAACAGAAACTTTTCAAAAGAAGAC